ATTTTATCATACACTTATTTTTTCCTAATTTTTACATTAAATAAAATTTATAAATTTAAATTTTATATTTCTGTATATTAATTTTAATCTTTTAAAATTAATTTCGGATATTACAAAATTGATAAAATAATTATGGTAATAAGTATTGCAACCTAAGTTTACATACTTTCATATTCTGCATTTTCATATCAATTCACAATATGGTAAGAAATATTTTTTCAAGATTTTGTTATCATTATATTGAGCTTACTTCGAGTTTCAATTTCATTGGGTACGAGTAAAAATATAATATAAATTGAATCAAAATAATATTTTAATTTTAGTTATTTGCATATTAAATTTATATGTCCCAAATTTAAATATAAGACGTGCCAAATATGTAATCGAGTGAGTTTATAAAGTTTGATTTATTTTAGATAAACTCATTTTACTCAAGATATATACATTAATATTATATTTTAAATATATAAAAAATGTACAACTATATATGATTAGAATGTCAGATTTAGACGGGTCTTTTGACTCCAAATTGAACATGAAAACGACCCAAAAAAAACTCAACTATGTTGATTCAGTCTCCATTAAATAAATATTTTATTTGTATTTAATTTTTTTGTCACTAAGAAGTATTTTAATTAGCTATTTATTTAATTACTCTTTAAAACTCCTTTTACAGATTAACCATATCATACATATATTTATATATTATATACTATTATTTATGTCACAGTACAAATATTATATAAAAGAGCCAGCCGTTAACGTTTGAGATGGGACAGGCCCCATAAATTTTATCATGTAATAAATATTTCACAACTGGAAACAGTCGTAAGAGAAATTATCAGTGCTGAATTGATTGAAGTTGCTCTAATCCTGTTTCCCTTTGGTATTTGAAGAAGGTAGGAGCTAGGCTAGTGTGTGTGTGTGTGTGTATATATATACAAACAAAACGTATGTATGCGTATGTGTGTATATATATATATATATATATATCTAAAGTGAAATGGTACACACAACTCCCAGAGAATTTTTTGCTTTTCCTGATGCCTACTTTACTTATTCCTCCCTTTTCATGTCTTCCACTCCCAACCAACCAGTTTAAAACTTTCATCACTAATTAATTATATGCAGTTTCTACGAAAGCACAGAAAAAAGACCAAACATGGACCAAATAACACATTCTTCCAAACTATATATATATATATATTATATATTATATTTATCATGAAAAGCACTGCTACTGTATGTTCCTCTATCTCTCTCTCATATATATATATATATATATATATATATATATATATAACAACAAAAAATCTGATTCAGAATTGAATGTCTTACATTCATGCAGCCTAAGACACCAGATTTGAACATAAGCAACAAATAACTAAAATAATCATATATATATATATATGTTAAACAAAAAGGTAAAATTAACAAAAAAACAAAAAAGAGAAAAACAATCCTAAATAATTCACTGAGGTGGTCAATTTCTGGACACTCAAAAGTTTCTCATTCAAACAGTACTATTTTTGTCAAGTAGTCTATACATGAAAATTGAAAGACCACCCATGAAAAAGAACACAGAGAGAAAGCTCTTTCTCTATCCAACCCACTTAATTATATAGGATAATCCTACTTAAAAACTAACTAACTGCATTACTAATTTAATCACCCAGATGATGATGATGATGATGACGACGACGACGACGACGACGACGATGATCAGTTTTTCAGACTAATTGGTTTGTAGTCGTGGAGGAGCCATAGCCGTTGATCATCCCAGTCCAAGAACCCAAATTGTTAAGGTACCCAAATGTAGTATTGTCCTTGCCAACTTCTTGATCTTGCCATTGAAGGGATAAAAGTGATTTGGGATTTGGCTTCACGTCAATTGTATTTTGTTCTTCATTTAATGCATCATACGGCAGCATTAGCCTCTGGCAACTATCTATGAAACTCCCATTATCATTCCCATCAATCGCCAACCCAAATGGAGAAGAACAAACCCCATTAAAATTTCCTATTCCCAACCCACGATTACTGCCCATGTGATCTCCAATCCCACCACCAACCATTCCCCCAATGAAATCATACTTACTCTCCATGAAATCAATCGGCCTGGGATTTTCAAGCTGCATCAAGTGATGATGATGATGATCATCATCACCAGGGTTTCCAATACCATGATGAGCGCCGAGAATGGTGGTGAGATGCTGCGAAAACTGAACATCAGGAAACGAGAGGTGCAGATCAGTGGGATTATGATTATGATGAGAGGAAGATGAACCAGGAGTACTAATTTGATTGATAGACTGATGATGATGATCGTTAGCTTTCTTGGATGAAGTTGCAGAAACCTTCTTGTTTTTCCGACAACCACCGCCGACAGGGATGTTTCGGAGAGTGCCACCTTTGGTCCAGTAACGGCGACAGGTTTTGCAGAAGTACCTGGGCTGGGATAGGCTGTAGTTGTTGTAGTAGCAGAATTTGGTGTGAGTGGAGTCACATCTGGGACACTTGAGAGCTTGATCATGCTGGGGTCTAAGCCTTCTCTCCATCAATGGTCTTGAACATGTGAGCATGTCACCAGACGGGGGTGACGAAGAATCCATGCCTGACTGATCCTCGTGAATCGTGCCCTGAGAGAGAAGGTTTTGTGTCAGATTGATTTTGTCTTGGATGACTAGACATTCTTTGTTCCTTTTCAGGTGTCAAATAATAATAGCAGGACTAAATATTCCTCTCTCTTTTTTTTTTTTTATATTTTTCATGTTATATATATCTACCCTCCGCCTAGCTGTATGAATGTGTATGTGTGTGTGTGTGTGTGTGTGTGTGTGTGTGTGTGTGTGTGTGTGTGTGTGTGTGTGTGTGTGTGTGTGTGTGTGTGTGTGTGTGTGTGTGTGTGTGTGTGTGTGTGTGTGTGTGTGTGTGTGTACTCTCATATTCACGCACTATCAGCAACCACATGAGTGTATATCTATATTAAAACGGCAAGGATCACATTTCCGGAACCCAACAATGAATTAAAAGTAGTAAAATGCGTGTAGAAGTTTAGCTTCCAAATTCAGTAAAAACAATAAAACATTTAGTATCATTTCACTTATTCTTAATATATATATATATATATATATGACATCTTCCTTACATATGCAGTTTCTTTTAATATTTTGCCAAATACAGCATTGTTTCCTCTTGTTTCAGACAATGCAGTACTAAACATTGTTCAATACGATTAAATAGTAAAAATATGAAAGCAGATTTTCTGTGTTTATAAATATCTATATATGTGCATATATGAATAATTTTGCCACCTAAGGTGACATCAATTCATGAATTCATCCTGGTGCTGAACAGATATCAACAGATAAATAAATTATCTGGAAAAACAAATTAACGCATTGTCTCTAAAAAATAAGGTCATCCATGTACTTTCTTTACAGAGTTAACCACACCAACAAGATCAAGAATAGTTGAGAAATTAATCTCGCATATATAATAACATTACATGAACATAATAAAAAAAAAAAAAAAAAACTGTTAAAATCCTCCCACCAAGAACATCTAGCTTAAACAATGTAATGCTCTCTAGAAAGAGTTCTTGGCCATAAATTAAGTAGTACTTGATGGTATAGCTAGTCGAATTAAAACATTACATATATATATATGTATATTTGATGAGAGAATGAAATGCATGGCATTTAAGGGCATACCAGTAGCCAATCAGATGAATCCATGCAAACTTGCAGAGAAGTAAGACCCATGAGTCAAATATGGTAATAAAGAGACGGGCAATACCAGTTTTGCAAACTGAAAACAGATGAAAGCCTTAATGGGAAGATGAAGAAAGAGTGAGGAGTGAGTGAGTGAGAAGAGAGTGGGTTGTGAGGGATGGAGGAATGGCTGTGAATAAGAAGGAAGAAAAAGGCAATGGCCGTATATTTGTATAGGAGTATATACAGGAGTATTATGAGTACAGAGTACATATATATATATATATATATAGAGAGAGAGAGAGAGAGAGAGAGGAGTTTTGATATGGTATGATTGTATGTAGAGTTACGGTCGGTGGGTTAAAACGTACGGTGGGTCACCACTGTGTCTGGTGAATGTTGAAACAGTGGGCCCGGATCTTACATCAGCTT